ATACTTTTAATAATGTTTGAAAAAAATAAAATCTCTAAGCTGATTTTGTTTTTGTTGTTTTGGTTTGGTTTTTGTAGGCCAGGCTATCCATGAACGTATTGCAATCCTCCTGCCTCCTGAGCATTAGATTAAAGGTATGTACTACTATGCCTAACCTCTAAATTAATTTTTTTTTGCTAGGCAAACTTATGAAGAGATATTTTCACATGCTTTCTGAGCTTTCTATTTGAAAGATACATAGTTTATCAATGTTAAAAATGAACTAATTTTGTCATTGGGACAACTGCTAAGAAACGCTACATTCTTGTAGATAATGCTACAGAATTAGATGATTTAATACCCAAAAGCATTCATGAGAAATCAAAGTTCCATATTGTGGGTTCTTAGTCTATTAGATTGCAAAATTTGCAACTGGATTTGGAAGGAAACCTAAGAGCCATTTTGCTGGAGTTTGAGAGAAGAAAGACAGGGTAGACAGGCCAAATGTCTTAGCAGGCCCCTGTCTGTAAAAGTGTGTTGTTGGAGCCACTGCTCAGACCACAGCAGCCCTGACAGGCAGTCTACTGACATGCAGTCTGTGAGTCTCTCACGGACACACATCCAGGTACCAGAGTTCCTCACCTGAAGAAGTGAGGCTTGTATCCAAGGATATTGGTGGCCACCATCCTGCTCCACATCCCTTCCCTGACCCCTGCCTGGGAATCAGAGTTTTGAGCAGCTTGGGTAAAACCACCACATCCTCAAAAAATGATAGCCCAAAAGTCCCACCTACAGTGTTCAATTGCTTTTCTAGTCCAAAGTTCCATAATGTTTACAATCCTCCAAAAACCAGCATAGTCAAGATCTTCCAAGCAACAGATCACTTGTCCTCTGGCACCAACTTCTATATTACTTACTCTTCTGTTGCTGTGACAAAAAATCAACATGGGGATGAATGGGTTTATTCCATCTTACAGCTGTCAGAAGCAAAGAATAATCTCAGGGTTCACACAAAGTGGAAGTATACACAAACAGCAAAATTAGCAATTATTTTGGAGAGGAAGAAAAAGGTGTGGCAAAACCCAAATTGGACTAGTAAGTGAACCCGCCAAGATGATGTCTATCTTTTATGCCTAATACAGGTAGCATCTGCGTCTCATTCTGTTTGTAGGAGTTCAACCTCACAATCTGATGTGATTGGCTAAAGTGAAAGTAGGTGGGACATTCAGGAAATGTGAGTTCTTACCTGGCTTGCTAGCTTTGCCCAGAGACCAGAAGAAGACAACAGACCTCTTAGGGCAGGAGTTACATGTGGTTGTGAGCCATCCAGTATAGGTGCTGGGAACTGAATTGTAGTCCTCTATACCAGCAGTACATGCTCTTAAATTCTGAGCCATTTCTCCAAGCCCAGTAGGTTCTGGTTTTGCACAAAATGAAAGAGTAATGGGACCCTAAAGGTTTGTACTTGGTTCCAGAGAAAGTTCTGTGAGGCCAGGAAATACACAGCAAGGTTACTCTGAGTATGATGTGCAAGACCCTTGAAGGTAACATATAAGCTGTCATGGAGATTTCAGAGTGGTAGATGCAGTAGTCTGAATGTAATTGACTCCTATAATCTCATAGGGAGTCGTGGAATATTCCTTTACACTATGTGAATATATATTGCTGTGATTGGCTAATAAAGAAGCTGACTGGTCAATAGCTGGACAGGATAAGGTTAGGTATAAGAGCCAAACTGAGAATGATGGGAAGAGGGGCAGAGTTAGGAATCATGAGCAGATGCAGAGAGAAGCAAGATGAGATTGCCATACTGAGAAAAGGTACCAAGCCACATGGCAAAGCACAGATAAGAAATATGGGTTAATATAAATTAAGAGTTAGCTAGTAACAAGCCTGAGCTATTAACCAAGCATTTATAATTAATATTGAGTCTCCCTGTCAGTTATTTGGGAACTGGCGGGTAGGGGGGAGGTCTACCTACAGGGAGTGGCACTATTAGGAGGTGTGTCCTTATTGGAGGAAGTGTGTCACTGTGAGGATGGGCTTTGAGGTCTCCTATGCTCAAGCTATGCCCAGTGTCTCAGACAACTTCCTATCGCCTGGGGTATCAAGATGTAGGACTCTTAGCTCCTTCTCCAGCACTATGTCTGCCTGCATGCTGCCATGTCCCACCATGAAGATAATAGACTAAACCTCTAAAATTGTGAACCCCCAATTAAATGTTTTCCTTTATAAAAGTTGCTGTGGTCATGGTGTCTCTTTACAGCAATTGAAACCCTAATTAAGACAGAGAAGCCAAGAACAGGGAACACTTGTCAAAAAAAAAAAAAAAAACCTGCAGACAGTAAATGGAACAACCTATTAGAGGGGCCTTGTGGGCTTCAATTGGTTGGGCTGTAGGAGCTGGGTTACCCAAATCCATTGGGGTTCACATCACAACACTATGTGGCTCAGATACTAGGCATGGAGCTGTAGGGCTTCTTCCTTTTGGGATATTTACTGTATACCATTGTATATTAGAATCTTTTTCTTTTTTAATTTTACAAGGACTCAAAGGACTGCCTGGAGTCTCCCCTACAGAATTGACCCGAGCTCAGTAGAAGCCCTTTCAAGCACAGTGGAAATTAACCTCAGTTGTTGACTTGACAAGCATTTAGGCCAGTGGTTCTCAACCTCCCTAATGTTGCAACCCTTTAACACAGTTCCTCATGTTGTGACCCCCCCAACTGTAGAATTATTTTTTCTGTTACTTCATAACTGTAGTTTTGCTACTATTGTGAATCATAATGTAAATACCTGATACGTGACCCCTGTGGGGGCCCTTAACCCACAGGTTGAGAACCACTACCCAGCCACACCTGCGGCATTGTCTACATTAGGTTTGTACATAGGTGTGCCCGTAAAGGATTTTTCTTTATTAGGTTAACTGAAGTGAAAAGACCCTCCCTTTATGTGGGCAGCACCTTCCAAGAGCAGGAGATAAGGAGGTCCCAGGGGAATGCTCTTGCTTTTTGCCTGCTTGTCTTAGCCTCTTGCCTGGAAGTGTACCTACTCTTTGGCTGCTGCATCTGCAGCTACCTCTTTGCTGACACCAGAACGCGGTTTCTTCAACCTGAAACATGACCTAAGGACAAGCAGCTATTGAGGAATCCTTTGGCATCAGCGGAGGACTGCTGAGGCATCCAGCCTTGTGGCTAAGCACTAGCTACTGGTCCTCAGTCTCTCAGTGTAAAGATGGCCATTGTTTCTATCCATGCCATATTGAGTAAGTAAATCTAATAACTCCCCTTTCGATACATTTTCACCCCATCAGTTTGGTTCCTCTAGAGAAGCCTACTTCAACTGTGAGGTACTGAGTGTATGTACGAATTATATCATCTGTAAAACAGCTTGTTGATTCCCACCTGCTCACTCCCCTGCTTGCTATTGAATCCTCTGAATTCCTTTCACCACCCACACTATTCTTAATCCAAAATGGCCCTAGTGCCTGTCAACGTCCTTCTGCTCCATCATTTCTTTCTCTAGCCTTTTTCCCCTGAAAATTAGTTTTATCATAACTTAACTAAGCATGTCTTCCGTTTTCTAACCCCTTCAGTAGTTCCCTAGCCATCTGATTAAACCCAAACCTTGCAGCCTGGTTTGAGACCTTCCACGTCACTCCTGGTCTCCACCCCTCAACACTTTCTTCCTCAGCATGGGAACCTTGAAATATTGACTTTTTCAGCCACACAACTGCATTCGCTTTGTCTGCACAGTCTTTTTCAGCCACACGACCGTGTACACTTTCCCTACACACACAGTTATCCTTCCCTCTAAGCCCCTCCCACTCAAAGGCTTACTTCTGGTCCTACCACACAAGGGTTTCATTTCCAGTTCCTGTGGCACGGTTTCTCGCATCTCCGTACTTCAATGGTGCTTCATGAAAGCACAGACTTACAGACTTCTCAACTGCTGGCAGTGTTTTGGGAAGTGGGTGGAATTTCAGGTGGATCCTCGCTGGAAGTGTGGCTTTGATGGTTATGAGTGGTCCCCAATCCGCTCTTTCCTCTTCCCACCCTCTCTCTCTTTCTTGCTCTCAGATGCTCTCTCCTTCCTGTCCACCATGGGATGATGAACCTGCCCCATTGCCCTCACACTGCCATGATGTGCACAGGGCTAAGCCACCATGTAACCTCTCAAACTGCTAATCTTTTAGATTGTTCTTGAAGATATTGAAGATATTTTGGTCATGACTATGCAAAAGTAATATGACAACCTCATAGAGACCGGATGATCACAATATATTTCCAACTAATTGTGTAATAAACGAACATGGCTGAGCAGGCTGGAGAGATGGTTCAGCAGTTAGGAACACTGGATACTCTTGCAGAACACCTGGGTTTGAATCCCAGCACCAACATGAAGGCTCACAACCATCTCTAATTCCCGTTCCAGAGGATCTGATGCTCTTTTGTGGCTTCCACGGGTAATTCGTGGATGTGATTCACAGACATACAATGCAGACAAAACAGCCATACACATAAAAGAAAAGAAAAAAAAAAAAAAGATCAGGCCAAGGGTCAGTGAGATTGCTCAGAGAGTAAAATGGCTTCAAATACAAGTCTTACCACCTGAGTCCAATCCCTGGATCCCAAAGTGGGATAAGAGAACTAATTCCCTTATGCATGCCATGGGTACACACACAGACACTCACACATACACACTAATGATAATACTTTTCAGTTAGGGTGATATTTAGCCACTGCAGACCAGAATAGTCACAATAGCTTCCTTCCACTGTCCCTTGTCACGCCAGTTCCTCCTGCTACCACTGATTCCTCCCTGATAAAGCCTGGGTTCTCAGTTTCCCAACTGTGGTCATGTCTGGTACTGAAGACCACATTAGGATCATGATCTAGCCAAATCCACTAGTGAAATTATCCATTCCAACTGATCTAGACCTATCTGGGAATCATTGCTAAGTAGTTCAACAATTATAGTCATGCATTTTCTGTTGCTGTAACAAAATACCTGAGGCTGAATCATTTCTGATAACATTTATTTAACTCAAAATTTTAATGGCTGGAGGATCCAACCAGCATGGCACTGGTATCATGTTGTGGACCCCTGTGGTTGCATCACAGCATGGTAGAGAAACAGAAAAAGAACTATTAGTGCACAGAAGAGAGAGATCCCATGGACCAATTACCTCCTACCGGACCCTGTCTCTTAAAGGTCTATCTACCATCTAATCATTGAAGTGCTATGAACCATGCCTCCTGTATGTGGAGACAAGCCACATCCAAGCAATAGCAATATTAACTTTTGCTTATAAATAAACTACTATGTCTTTTAAATTATGATTCTCATTGAATATGCAGCAAACATGGGTATGGAAAAGGAAAATAAGAGTCTGTCATTCCAAGAAGGTGTGAGTTTATCCATCAGGGTCCAATCTTCATGTAAACCAAGAGATAAGCAGTTTCCCGCCTAGAAAGTGAAGAACACATGTCAGCATAGAAAAATGAAGCACCCACAGTGAAACCATGACATGACATGATGACATGCATCAATAAACTTCCTGACTTTCTTACATCAAGCACTCACCTAATCCATGACCCACCTAGCCATTCCCTTTGGGAAGGGGGGGGTGACCCAAGTGAGTACCTATTAGTTGATATCTAAATCACATAGTGAAAACTTGTGGGAACACAAAAGAAATCTGTTAGCTGGGCATTGGTGGATCAAGCCTTTAGTCCCCACACTCGGGAGGCTGAGGCGGGCAGATCTCTGTGAGTTGGAGACCAGCCTGGTCTACAGAACTAGTTCCAGGACAGGCTCTAAAACAATACAGAGAAACCCTGTCCCAAAAAACAAAAACAAAAACATCTGTTTTGGCAACTGGCCATAGAGCCAGTTTTAATCAGTTGTCCATGTATTACCCATAGCCTCTTCAGCGCTACAAGGGGAGAGCCATGTAGCTGCAACAGCTGTGTTGTACAAAGCTGAGAACTTCCTCCCTCCCTCTCTACAGTCTGTCTACAGACAGTCTGCCAGTTCCTGCCCTAAGACAGAAGGGCATCTGCAACAATCAGAAACAAAAATCTGGCATCTAATAGAGAAAGCTGGCAAGCGGGCTGAAGGAGATTTCAAACACGATTGCAATGACTTCTTTATTTCTCAAGTGGTCAAGCTGAAAGCCATCTCACACCGCCCTTTGTGTATATCACTGTCCCCAGACCAGAAAGGAGGCCAGGAAAGCTTTACAAAGACTCTTTGATCTAAATTCATCCAGCTTTTTTCTCTCCAGAGTCCCCTCTGTAATGATTGGTTTTAAGAGGTATCTGTTGATTTTTAGTAAATGCAAGCTACCGCTAGACAGAAAAAGACGAGAAGCATGATCTCTTCCCCTCAACGAACACATGTGACATGTGAAAGAGAGTTATGTAAGCAAGCAGTTAAGAGACAGTCTTTGCCATAGAGAGGCGTGCTCAATATACAATGATAGCGCGTGAGAAGCGCCCACACATCTGCCTGGGTCAATCTGTAAATGCACTGTGGGTGCCATGAGTAACCAAACATGAGGGGCTTTGCAATTAGGCAGAAAATGCAGACACAGCAGTTGGACTTCACTGCGAATCCATGGGCATTACTGAACCCTTAGCATCGAGAAAAGCAAGGTATGGTGGGACAGGGTAGTCACAGATGAAGCTGACCGTCTCAGAGGAGACATCAGAATGTAAAGAGCAGCTGGAGCCTGAGGGTTCCCCACAGCTGAGAATTCAGAGTGAGTTCATCGGGGTTCAGTAAGCAGCCCTTCTCTTACCAGCGATATCTGTGATTTCCATAGGTACACTGGACATCCTCCCAGGTCACCTAGAAGTGCATGAGGAAGAAGGCCACACCCTAATCAGTATTGGGTGTTCGTTGAATGCACAGTTCTGTGGTTTGCCCTCCTAGACAAGTCTATTCCTCTCTCTAAACTTGGTTATGCCCATCCAAGAGTTACAACTCTGGCTTTAGGGAACTTTGCCACCGAATCTGAAGCATTGTGGCACTGAGCCTGGAGCACCAGAAAACTGGGCCCTGAGCTGAGTGGGTAGTACAGTAATAACCAGGACTTTACACCTCATAAAAGGCACCTCCATTCACAATACAATCTTTATGGCAAGGACCCAGATAGCCCCAGGCTCTGGATTTATTAGAGGTAGTTAATCTAGGACAAGTTAGCAATTTGGATGATGTTTCTCACCCAACAAACATGTGAGTCATTGAAGCAGAACCATTTTCCATCCACAGAATTCCGGATGTAGGCACAGTAATGACCAAAGTCAGCCATCCCCACATGGGCAATCACAGCAAAGAGCTCATACCGTACTTCGGGCTGGAGGGAGACAAATGGAGAAACAGTTCAACCACCATCCTTCTATTCTGCCGTCACGGACTCTATGTCTCTGGAACCATGAGCCCAAAAGTAAACTCTTTCTTCTGTAAGTTTCCATGATTGTGGTGTTTTCATCACAAAATAGAAGAGTAACCAATTCAACAGACATCAGGAGAGCAGCAGCAGCAGCATCACTATCACAGACCAAGTAGAAAAATACTAAAAGTATCCATTAGAACTGACAGGAAACCATGCCACTCCCTCAAACCTTTAGGAGAGAAAAATAAGAGATAATTCTGTGAAAAAAGCAAGGGTAGGGAGAGGTTGTGGCTGCTGTGGGCCAGATCTCCAGGTTAGTTGGATGCTTTCTTAAAGTTCTATGGTGCACTTTCTGTTCAACAGGCATGGAGCCTGGAGCTCAGGTTCCAGAGCTCTGCAGCCAGGGTCCCTTGTTGCTTCATACAGTCTGAGTCACCCAGAACATCTCCCGGAACCAAGAAGAGAATGTGATCCCAGAGCCCACCTCTCCCCCAAGTCACTAGTATCCCACACACTTGGAGTACAGCCAAGTTAAGGCACTTGCCACACAAACCCAGTGAGTCTAATCCCCAGAACTCACACAAAAGTAGATGGAGAGAAGGACCAATTCTACAAAGTCATCCGTGTGTGTGTGTGTGTGTGTGTGTGTGTGTGTGTGTGTGTGTGTATGTGTTGGGGGGCGCACACATGCACACAATACACAGAAAAGATAAAACTTTTAAGATTAAAAAGTAACTAAAATGTATGTTTCCTTAGGTCTGTTTTAAAGATGACTCTAGACTTTTATCATGTTTAGCTATTACTCATTTGTCTCTGTGTGTGCGTGATGTGTCCCAGCAGTGAGGATGGACTTCGGAAGATGGCTTTGAAGGTGGGTTCTCCCTTTCTACCACATACGTAGGTGGTGGATCATCAGGCCTGGCATCGAGCGCATTACCTGCCTAGTCACCTCTCAGCCTCCTTTCAGTTTATCCAGACAGGGTTTTACTATGTAGCACAGGCTGTCCATCTCACACACACACACACACACACACACTCACGCATGCATGCACACGCGCACATGCACACACACACACACAGCCAATTTCCCAAGGAATAGAATTATATACACATACCCCTATACACAGCTAAATTTAGACATTTTTGAATGAACAAACAAAATGGCAACCTTTGTGGAGAACTTCGTTTTTAATAAAGGAATACTTCGTATAGTTTCTCCACATAGTCAGAGTCTTGAGAAGTAGTATCAAGGCAGGAAAAGGGGAAGGTAGGCAAATGGAGGACATAAATCACCTTTTACTTTTTGTAATAACTTCTTTTGTGATGGAATTTGTTTAAATAAAGGGCAATATCTGGATATAATGATCCAAAAAAGGGGTTGGGACTATGGTAAAGCAGCCAACTGTGGCCCTCTAATAATTTGACTTCACCTGACTAAACTCCAAGAAAAAGAGCAGGATGGGAAAGAAACTTTCCAAAAAGGGGAAGGGAGGGTGGAAAAGAGGGAAAGACAAAGGATAGAGAGGAAGAAAGGGGAAGAGAAGAGGGTTACCCAGGTGTAAATGTAAACTGTGGATCTAAACTCAAGCAAACTACATGTCTCAGTCAGAGTTCTGTCACTGTGAGGAGACACCACGACCATGGTAACTCTTAGAAAAGAAAACATTTCATTGGGGCTGGCTTACAGTTTCAGAGGTTTACTCCATTATCATCATGGCAGGAAGCATGGCAGCGTGCAGGCAGGCATGGTACTGGAGAAGGAGCTGAGAGTCCTACATCCACAGACAGCAGGAAGAGAGAGACTCTAGGACTGGCTTGGGTTTTTGTAACCCCAAAGCCTATCCACAATGACACACTTCCTCCAACAAGGCCACACCTACTTCAATAAGGCCACACCTCCTAGCCCCTCTCAAGTAGTGCTATTCCCCGATGACTAAACAGGCAAATATATGAGCTTATGGGGCCATTATTCAAACTACCACACCACAGAAATTACAGAGCAGAGATACCAAAACATTGGTTGGATATGGAAATAGTAAAGAATTATGAGATAGGGTCGCTTACACTGAGAAAATATATGTATGCTTACTCTTTAAAGAAACATAAAGAAGTGTTTACAAATAAAATAGCAGAAACTCTGGGGGCTGCTTCAAAATGATCTAGAAGGATTATTTTCTGTTGCTATGAGAAACACCATGAACCAAAAGCAAGTTGGGGAGGAAAGTTTATTCCATATTATATCACTGTCCATCACCAAGGGAAGTCAGGGCAGGTACTCAAACAGGAACCTGGAGGCAGGAGCTGAAGCAGAAGCCATGGAGGGAGCTGCTTACTGGCTTGCTTCCCATGGCTTGCTCAGTTTGGTTTCTAATATGACCCAGGAAGACCTGACACAGGGTTGCACTGCCCACAGTAGGCTGGGCCTCTCCACATCAATCATCAATCAAGAAAATGTCCCCATGAACTTCCTCCAGGTCAGAGGGATGGAGGCAGTTCCAAACCTGAGCTTCCCTCTTTCCAGACGACTCCATTATGTCGAGTTGACAAGAAACTAACCAGAACAGTTGAGCAAACGAAGGTGGACATGGAGGCAAATCATGACTGACCACAAGTTTGTGGAACTAAGTAGTCAACGCTGAATGGATAGATGAGGGTTTGCTGTATATTTATTTCCCCGCTCTTTAGTGTTTCTCTGAAATTTTCCATAACGAAATCTTTTTTAAAACAGAGACAAATTTAAATGCACTGCACAGCTGGACTGAGCAAGAACACGGGGAGAGCCAAAGTGAGTGCTGTGAAAAACAGACACCCGATAGGTAAAGATGGGCCTTATACTTTAATATTGTGGCCCCAGGAGCATGAACTGGCAAACAGACCAATGTAACAGAACAAATATTCCAACAATGGAGACATACACGTGAGATCTAAAACCTACAAACATAGCATTTTCTACTTCAAACCCACAAAGAGAAGACAGTCATATTTTTCCCTCAGGATCTCCCAAGAAGTTATTAACTTGGGACAACTGAATTAAATTTTCCTCTGATTAAATCTGGTCCCACAACTGGCTACTTTGATATGATTCTCAAAGCAGGCTCTTGTAGTGAGATATTCACTTTGTCTGCATCTGTGGCACTGACCATGCCCATTGGGGGGTGGAGACAGGGGCAGAAGTGACATGGGGAACTAGGTCTGAGGAGGAGCCTGGGAGAGCTCTCTCTTGCTGGCTGGACATGGACAGAAGAGCATCCGGAGGCATCCTTGGGACCAGGAACCTGCTGGTGTTCATCTGTCTATGTTGTAAGTTATTTCTCCCTGAATAAACACCTATTCGGCCTATTTTTTTTTTTTCCTGATCCTTATTATACCACAATAGGCTCTGGCTTTTCAATGCAAAAGTTTAGCTGGCTCTAAGAACCCGAAAGTTTGTGTTTACTTACATGCCTGCAAGTATTCCACATTTCAAATGGGAAGTACCGAGTTACAGGTCCCGTTTCTCAGTCCCCTGAGGCATTTCCATAAAACCCAATATTTAGAAAAAGGAAGCTTTCTGAATCTTTAAAAGTAAAGGCAAAAGCTGGCCATGACAGCGGGGTGATAACCCACCACTGCTTCTCAGAACTACAAAGGCTTCATCACTAAAGTATTGCCTAAGAAGGGAAGTCTGTCATGGGCTGGCTGGACAGCTCAGCAGGCAAAGGTGATTGCCTCCAAGACTGATGAACTGAGTTCAGTCCTCAGGACCCAGGTGGGAGGAGAGTTGTCCTGACTACACTCATGCCGTACTCATACACCAACAAATAAGTAAGTGCATTTTTTTAATCTTTAAAAAAGAAGAAAAACAGAAAGAAGTCCTAAACATATATGTGCTTTTGTGAGTCATACCAAACTGCAGTTGGTTCGTTCCTCACCGTTGTATATGCCAAGCATGGCCGACAGGGAGCCTGGGTCCCTGGATGAGAGCCGGACCCAGGAAGTGCTTGGCCCACATGGTCCATGTCACCTCACAGTCATTTATGAGAGAGTGGTACCCAGAAGCTAATGGGGATAGATGGCGGCTACCTCAGAAGGACAGGGTCTGCTGGGCGGCTACCACAGGGCATGCTATCTCAGAAGAACGCTGTCTGGCAGACAGCTACCTCAGAAGGACAGGGTCTGCTGGGATGAAGGACAGACGTCAGGCCTCACCTGTTCCTTGGTATCACCAAGCTCTTTCTCGGTTGCCAGAGCCTGACTGAAATCCAAGCGCTGAGGAAAGTACACAGAGTGGCAGACCTTCTCTGTCCGTGAATCCCTGGTGGAGAATCTCATGAGGTGGATGGTCAGGGTTTGGGGCAGATGAGTCAGCTCCAAAACCTGAGAAAGCAAAACCAGCCTGCCAATAAAGTCTTTGGGCACCTGAGATGGGCAGGTTCAGAGCAGTATCAAGACTGGTGACGAGTTCTTTCCCACGAGGGGCTTGCAGGGCACTTCCATGACTCCCATGACTGAGCGCCACTCACCACGCATCCCCACAGAAGGCCTCTGCCCCAGCATCTACTCTAAGGACTCCAGCCAAACCCTAAGGGGAAAACCCTACCTACTGCTCTTGAACCTTCTCTTTGTCCCTAAAAGGTTCTTCCTGACCCCCTCAGTGATACAAATGCAAGTGAGAAGCCCTGAGGTCCCCAGGCACTGGCTCTATCCAGATTCCCAATGTTGGCCATTATGAGATGCCCTTAAGGGGTCTGCAAAGACCTGTCAGGAAACCCCGTGGGCAACTCCATTCCAGGGAGGAGTACCTGTTTCCTAGGCGTCTTCTTCCCACAGTGGTCACAGAAGCACTTGTCTGGGCTGGCTAGCTCTTTGGGCTGGAAGAAACAGCGCAGGGCGTCCTCCTGCCCCACCCAGGAGAACAAGCATAAGCAAAGGGCGGCATTCTTGTCCCTCGCTTCAAAACCAGCCCACTCCCTGTGCTAGTGGAAGCCCAAGCTTTGCTACCCTTTAGCCCTCATGCCCCTAAGAGGGCACATGTGACACATGGGGTACAATTTCAGAAAGTACCCACTGGAAAGAGGAACAAAACTGGAGGGGACTTGCCAGGGGGAACGAGAGGGATGCAAGAGGAGGGAAAGACGCATCCTCCCCGTCTAAGGAGAGCTGACCCAGGGTATGCAACTGAAGCACAAGTCACTCTTTAAAAACTGTATTACATTTTTGCTTTCTTTTTTTTTTTTTTTTTTTTTTTTTTTTTAATCATGGTAGGAGGGCATGCACATGCCCAGGCATATATGTGGAATGCAGGAACCCGTTTTCCGGTTCTCTTCTCCCACTGTGAAGGAAGCAGGGATCAAACACAGATGGTGACACTTGGCAGTGAGCACCTCCACATGCTAAGCCATCTTGCCAGCCCACAAACTACTTTTGAAAATCCAAGGGAAAAGCAAAGGGAAACTGGCTACGTCAGGGTGTGCAAAAGTCTCTGACGAGAAGTCTCTCACCAGCGTTTTCAGGGGCTTTGAGTCCACATCAAAAAGAGGAAGAGAGAGGGTGAGCAGCCTACTGCTTCTGCTGCTCTCCGCACCACAGCCCAAACAGATCAGGGACTCCTTTGTCCAGATTGTGAACAGAACCTGCAGCTGCTCTGCCTGCAAGTAGAGAAAGCAAGGAGGTAAGATGACCAAGAGGTCTGGACAAGCGATTTCTAGATAGAAGCTCTACAAAAGGCTGGCACAAAATGTTGCTTCCCTGAACATAAAGGTAATCGCACCAGGGAGCCACACCAAGCAGAAACTCATTCCTAACTAATCGTGCACATAGTAGCGGAGCCACTCCCACAAGCAGCCTCTCACATCCCTGACTTTTCCAGACCCCAGCTCTTACCAAGTCCACATCAGTGATCTGGTCCTTAGTCAGGTTCCAGATTGTAAGGAAGAGATGAGCAGCATCGTGCTGGACATAGGCTGATCAGAGGGAAGCACAGTTTGTAAGGAGACATCTCCTGCCCTTGCAGAACCACCAGGTCCCCTTCCTAGCCTCCCCTCGCTTTCTAAAAGATTAAATGAAAAGTAAGCTTGGCGTTTTATTTATTTATTTATTTTAAGAGTTTCTCTTAGAACTGAGGTCATAGTCCCATCACTTTCTCTCACTATTCACCTCTACAAGCCAACTATTTTCTCCCGTTGTTCTGCTGAACTGTTACTATGCCTGGACTTTGCCGCCCTCTGGTGGTCATTTTTATTCAATTCCCTAAAAGCAGAGCCTAATACAACCAGGATTCCCCAAAGATGCCAGAGTAAAAGGAGGAAAGTTAGATGTTAGATGTTAGATCGTCCATGTTAGATGACCCTGGCTGAGATGCGCAGAACTTTTGGGGGAATTGTCTCCCTGTTCTATAAGTAGAACAAAAGGAAAACACTAGGTGTGATGGCACATGCCTATAAGCCTAGCAAGCAGGAGGCAGAGGCTGGAGGGCCAGGAGCTCGAGGTCAACTTAGCAACACCGTGAGCTTGAAGTAAAGAAAAGAAAAAGAAAAGGAAGAAGAGGGGACAAGGACTAGGACGAGGAAGAGGAGAGAGAAGAGAGAAGAGAGAAGGAGAAAGGAAGGGAGGAAAGGGGAAAAATAAGACTTATCCAAAACATACACAGAAAATTTACATTATTACAAGAGCATGCCTCATTTATCAGCGGTAACATTTCATGTAAACTGGTTAAATTCCCCCACTGATGCATCCAACAAACAAAAGTCAATGACATGATGCCTACAGTAAGAAAATCGCTTTACCAGTAAAGACACACAGAATGAAAGTGAAAGGCTGAAAAGAATATAACAAGCAAAGAGAAACCAAGGGCAGCCAGCGGCAGCCAGCAAAACAGACTAACATTCAAACACTGCAAAAGGAGACAGAGAAAGTCAGTATGTGATGAGGATGCAATCAACTCGAAAAAAGATGCAACAATTGTAAACATTCATGCTCCAAAGCTGAAGCCCCCAATCACATCTAAACACAGAGAAAGATTCTCAAACTATTCCGGTGCTTCAATACCCCCACCTTCAACAATGGACAAAGCATCTGGACCAAATAAACAAAAAAATAACAACAAAAAAAAACAGTTAACAGTATTGGTGAGATGATGGCTCATCACAGGAAAGCACTTGATGCTCAGACCTGGCAACCTGAGTGTGACACCTAGAACCCACAGTGTAAGGAAGGAATCAACTCCTGAAAGTTCTCCTCTGACCTCCATTCACATCCTGTGGCCCAATGGAACGAAGACACCCTCACTCACACACATAGCACACATAAACATAATAGTAACAAACAAAATTTTAACTCTTTTAAAAAACCAACAGACAATGAGTTACACAATACTATACACCAAATCTATTTAACAGACATTTACAGAACATTCCAAAGGAAAACTGGGGGATAAGCTCTGACATTCAACTGTCCATAGTTCATTCAATTTATTATGTCTCTTATAAAGGATCAGAAGAGAAGAATCAAATGTTGAACCTACTGAGTAGGTCCTCAGAAGAAAAGACATTCTAGCACGGTCTGCGGCTGTGATAAAATGCGATAAAAAGCTTTCCCTGGCTTACATTTCCAGATCACAGTCTATCATTGAAGTTGAGGCAGGAACTCAGCAAAAACTTGGAGGAATGCTGCTTGCTGGCTTGCTCTCTGGCTCCTTCTCAGCTGACTTTCTTATAGTGTGGGGCCACCTATCCAGTGAATGATTCCCGCCACAGTGAGTTGAGCCCTCCTACACTTATTAGCAATCAAGACAGCCAATCACCCACAGACACACTTGTGAACCAGTCTAATCCAGGCAATTCCTCCATTGAGACTCCCTGATCAGGTGACTGCGTTAAGCTGACCGTTAAAAGCTAACCAGGACAGTGGACAACAGGAAAAACGACAGTATGTTTTGGCAAAGGTAAATTTGGCTATAGGCAACACAAAGGAATGAATGTTTAAAGAGAAAGATATGCTAATTACCCTGATGTGATCATTACACATTGCATAAATGTATCAAATCAACCCTGAAAGTAGGCAAATGTCATGCTAAGTTGTTTTTGTTTGTTTGTTTATTTGTTTTGAGCCACAAGGCAGTACGCTGATAATAGTCACAAAACACACACACACACACACACACACACACACACACACACACACACGAAACCTTTTCTTTCGGAAGTGAAAAGATGTGTACTTCTGATCAGCACCAATGCCTCTGATAAAAGGGGTCTAGAGTCCCCCTGTTCTTTCCCTGCCCATTCCCTCAGGCCCCCTCCCCACCCGACACGGTATCAATGGGCAGGAGCCAGAGCTGAGAGGCTCTTACAGGACACGTTGTACTTCTGGAGGCAGCAAGCCAGCTCCATGGGCAGCACTGCTTTCTGCCGGCTGTCCTGCATCTTCTCCAGCAACAAAAGCAACTGAAAGGGGACACTCCTCTTCTGCTCTTCTAGGCCCCGAGGCACTGGTACCCTGTCAAGTAAGAACAGCCAGGCAGCTCGTACCCACCGTTCTGCAGGCCAGGGGAATACTAAAATCACTCCCACCCACCCCCATGTCTGTACCAGTCTCTGGATTAGATTAGAGTTATGGGTATATTAGGTATATTAATGCATGTGCTCAAATGCTTCAGGGACTGGGATGTGCAGGATACCTTATTAAGAGAGAGATCTGCACCCCAACCATGCTCAGCCATCACATTAAGGAAGGAGAGTGGCACCACATTCTGGGCCTACGCTAGAGTGAGCAGGTCAGTGTTAGCCTGAGGTACTTTGTACTGCAAAGGCAAACACTGAGTTAGGTCCTGGGAATAAAGGGCAATATAGCAGGGCAACAGTGTTTTAACACTGGCTCATTTGGCTATAGGCGATTCTCACTTGCTTTGTGGATGAGCAAAAGGAGAGAGCACTGGACCAAGTAGAGTCACTGATCAAACATCTGCTTCTGTTCACTGACTTCCTCTAATGTTGCTCTGCTCCCAACTCCAGACCCTTAACTAACTGTCACCCTTGGTTGTGAGGAGTCTTAAAAAAAAAAAAAAAAAAAAAAAAAAAGCAAGCACTAATGGGGGCTGGAGAAATGGCTCAGCAGTTCGGAGCAGTTAATAAACAATTTTAAAAGCACTAATAACCCCACACCACCTGAAACCAAATGGAGGTAGGGTGAGGTGAGTGTGTGTGTGTTTTTAAACTTTGAAAGTGATGCTAACCTGCAGTACAAAATGTGCAAGAAAAGGTCTTTCCTCGGGCATCTCTGGAAAGACAGCTTATAAAGGTCTGTCACTGTGAATAAATGAATATTCTACAATGTAAACGATATGCACATTCTCAGCCAGAACCATAGTTGTATGTACCTCTTCAATATCTTTCTGAAGTCCTCATGCATTATCATCACTTGAATCAGGGAGTTAAGGCAACAGGTCTGCCCGATGTTGTGTAAACCAACCAGGCCTGTAAGGAGAGGGGAAAAAATACTGAAGGCAAGACATAACACTGAACAAAACTCCAGTGTCTTTCTGGGGTCTCCTAAGGACACGGAATCCCGAGAAACACTCCCACAGACACAGACATTTCACCGGGGACCCTGCAAACGACCTGGGAAGGAGCCATCAAGCATGAGGCTTTGAAAGCGGTGATAACGCTCTAGAGAAGAAGGCATCACACGTTGGCAATGAGCTGCACAGTGGTTGTTGGGGGAGGGGAAGCTCTGAGAAGGTGCCTGGGGTGGGGTGCTAGCTCCCCTCACTCTGCTTCTACACAGCTGAGTTAGAATGGACCTCAGCGTGGCGCAGGAGGAATCACAGTGTCCATCTGGTCCACACTGGCTTCAGTTCTCTCCACAGAAATGGAAGACACCGAAGGTGGCTGTGGGGAGACCCACCCTAAACTTATCTCAAGATGCGGGAAACCAGACAATGTTCAAAAATGTAGGAAAGCCAAAAATAATATTTCTAGACAGGCCACCCACCAATCTCCCATCCCGCCCTAACCACAGGCTCAGCTGGCCCCAGAAGGGGAGAGGTTGAATAACAAGAGAGTATCCCGCAACTCGGAGTCCTGGACAAAGAGCTTCTAAGACAGAACAAGGCAAATGAGAACCTCAGGGACAACAGGTTTCAGCTGACAAATCAGCAGAGGAAATCCACTAGCACAAAACTAATGTGGAGTGTGCCACTTCCAAAACGGAGTGTGAAGAGAGCATTTCGACACAGTGGTGAGTGCTCCAGAGAGGAGGCTCTACTCACCATGAGGCCGGTCCCAGGCACTGCAGTGTTCTCTAGACAGGCCCCTCTTCCTTGTCATACTCTTCTCTTCCTTCAGTTCTGAGGGGCACTGAGGCTCAGCCACGATTGACTGGCAGGTTCTCCTCAGGAACCCAAACCCTTTGCCCATTAGTGATCACGCCTAACCCTTGAGTCTGGGACTGTCTGTCTGAGGCTCAGGATTCCACGACTTCTCTTCCCGGAAGAGTCCACACAAGCCAGGCACAAAGGTAGCTCTGTGGGAACAGATGACAGTGAGGTGGGGGATACATCCATGCCATCGGCTCTGATTGCTAGAGGAAGCCTGGCTAAGCTCTAAAACAGGAATTAATGAAGCTGGGCACCCTTCTACCTCTCCATCCATCCTTCCTCAGCACGGACCGTCATGTCCTAACGCTAACGCTGGCCTTCTTCCTGCCTTCTCCGTCTTAGTAAATGGTCCAGACCAAAAACCAAGGGTCTCCTTGCCCCTGACTCTCAGTCCTTAACAGATGAAAAAGGTGTCAATACCACTGGCTAGAGACTACTCACAAGCATGTGGGACATGCCTGCAGACGCCTAAGGTCCTGTCTCTGGAAAGCTTGTCCTAGGTCCTCAGGAAGGCTCTGTGGGCACCTATGCTTTGAGCACTTTGGACACAAAGTTATTCAAATTCTGATGTGGGGACCATGTGTCTCTATGTGTGGGATTGATGGTTCACAGCTCAGGCTCCTGCTTCAGCAGACAGCCCTTCCAGACCCAGAGGACCACTGCATCCCTTTCCCCCAAACCAAAGATTCATAAGCACCAGATCTTAGTATAGAGGAGGAAATTTACTAATGATCGGCCAACCCTGTTCTTACTTCCTCCTGACAGCACAGGCCTCAGCCACCTGTAAACCCTCCCCCAAAATCCCTTGGGATCCCCAGAGGTCTCACATGTGATTCAGAACAAAAGTCAAGACTGCCTTGCCAGGCCTCACCTGCCTCTCTCCAGTGAGCTTAGGCCGTCACAAGACACTGCCAGCCATGGAGGCCAGCTGGGAAGAGCACACTGACATCTTGGACTGGGGATGATGTGAAAGTGGGAAACACCCAGCTAACCTCAGGGGCCGCGTGCCCTTCGATTCCCACAGTTCCTTCTGAAAGACTTCAACTTCTGCCTACAGCTTCCTTCTAATCCTCAGCCTGTCCTCAGGCCTAAGCTGGAGTGACGTGTGCTCTGTTTCCTCCTCTCTAGCCAAGGCAGATGCACAACACCAGAGTCCCTCTGTGTTTCTCCTTTCCCATGGGCAAGTAAATGGAGAGGCCTGAGAGCCCATTGTTATGAATCACTGAATCAGCTGGGTTCAGCTAGAGCCCTCTCAATTAAAGTCCTTTCGAGACAGGCTGGTGTCAGGAATCTCCCTCGATTGCCCTCCATCTTATTCATTGAGGCAGGGTCTCTCAGGTGACCCCAGGGCTGGGCAATACAGTCTGACCTAGCTATCAGCTTATTCCATGGATTCCCTGTCCCCCCCCCCTCAAGCATTTGAATTGCAGGGAGACAACCATGCCCACCTGGTTCTACACAGGTGCAAGGTTCCCAAACCCTGTCTTTGCACTCACTCAGCCAGCATTTACCTAGTAAGTAATTTCCCCAGTCTAAAGGTAATATGGTCTTTAATTATGTATCTATTTTCCTGTCAGTGTGGATTTGTGCTTATCAGTGCAGTTGCCCTTGGAGACCAGAAGAGGGTATCAGATCCCCTAGAGCTATAGGCTGTTGTGAGCTGCCCAAACAGTTTGATTGGCAACAAAACTCGGGTCCTCTGCAAAAGCAATGTGCACTCTTAACTGCTGAGCCATTTCTCCAGCACCAAAAGGTGACATTTTTAATGCATGTGGCTACATGTCTTGTACCAGTTTATAGTCTAGCCAATGAAGAACCAGTCAGAATCAGCGGCTGAAGGAGTGACGTAAGTCTGGTTGTGAGTTTAAAAGGATATTTCATGGACATCTATAACTGCATTTACTAAAGACAAGAGGCCAGAAGGGTGTGGGTGCTAAGGCTGTTAAACCAGGTAGGTTGCTAAACACCAGTAATTCCAGCCCTTGTGGGGCTCAGGAAAGGGAATAACAAGTTTTGGACCAGCCTGGGCCACAGAATAAGACCCTACTGAGAGAAGAAGAATCTGAATCTTGATGCAAGAAAGGTAATATGAGTAGTGTGCAAAAGTTTGGTGTTTGGAGAAAGGGGATGTGGGTTAAGCTCATGCAGAGCACTTTAAGAAGATTTGCATAAGGAAATCCAAACTCAAAACAGAAGGAAATACAGTCTAGAAATTTACTAACTGGGAAGCTAACAGTCATGAAAGCCCAACCATAATAAGACATCCTTTTACATTTTCCATCTGGGAACAGTCAGCAGTTCTGACACACTGCTGGACTGAATGCCATTCTCAGTGCTTCTGTTATAAACACACAGCTGGGGGAGAGGGGTGTTTGGTTGTTTGGGTTTTGCCTTTGTTTTTTGTTTTGTTTTGTTTTTAAGATTTATTTATTTATTTTATGTTTGACTGTTCTATCTGCATGTATGCCTGCAGGCCAGAAGGGGGCATCAGATCCCACTATCTGCATGTATGCCTGCAGGCCAGAAGGGGGCATCAGATCCCACTATAGATGGCTGTGAGGCACTATGTGGGTGTTGGGAATTGAACTCAGAGTCTCTGGAAGGCCAGCCGGTCTCTTAACCACTGAGTCATTTCTGTCGTCCCCATTTGGTTGTTTTTTTGAGACAAGATGCTTACTCATAGCCAAGGCTGGCCTCAAACTCAATCCCCTTGCCTCAGCCTCTGGAGTTTCAAAATGACAGGAAGCAATGCCACCACACCCAGTAGGAATTTGTATAATTCCTATGTGTCAATTAAAAATAACATATACTTTAATTTTTGTTGAGCCAAGCATTGGAGGAGGTATGGGTAAATAGGATTGAAGAAAAAAAAAAACTTGGAGACAGGGTTTCTCTGTGCAGCCCTGGCTACCCTGGAACTTACTGGGTAGACCAGGCTGGCCTCAGACTCAGAGATCTGCCTGCCTCTTCCTCCACAGTGCTGGGACTAAAGGTCCTGGCTGGATTTCTTCTTTTCAAATATTAGTAATGTGTGTGCGCGCACACACATACATGCCACAGCATGCAGAACTCAGAAGACTCCTCAGCTGGGTCAGTTCTGTCTCAGGATTGAACTCAGGTCCCCACTTGCACAGCCAACACCTCTACCTGCTGAGCCATCTTGTTGGACCTAAACATGATTTTGTAAGATTAAATGTTTCTTATTGTATTATTTATTCATCTTTTTGTGCATGTATTCGGACATGAATGCCACAGCACACAAAAGGAGGTCAAGGGGCAATTTGTTGCAGTCAATCTTATCTTTCCACGTATCTCCTCAAAACAGCAAATCTCAGGACTGCAGAGATGGCTCAATCTGTAAAGCGCTTGCTTAGCAAGCGTGAAGATCTGAATTTAATCCCCCAGAACCCACATAAACAAGCCAGATGTACACATCTGTAGTCTCCTGAATAAGAGACCCTTTCTCAAAAGACAAGGTAGATGGAACCTGAGGAACTACATTGAGAGTGACCTCTGGCCTTCATGCATACATCCACAATGACAGCCAGCCAGCCAGCTTGGCAGGCAGGCAGACACACACACACACACACACACACACACACACCACTGAGAAATATTCAGAAAACATTATATAATTTCTTTCTATAGATTCAAACTTGATGTTAATGGAAAATTGTATTATGTAGGCATGGATACATGGATATGATAAAAGTTTCTAAATAGGAAATGAAAATCAAATGTAGGCAATTGTTTTGACGGAAGACAAAGGCATGAAGCTTGAGAAGGATCAGGTGTTACTTGGGACAGTCAGCTTTGGCAGCAGAGTGAGCGAGGAAGTGAGGTTTACTCTACTAATTAGCTCATTAACTGTGAGCTGGAGTTAAGGCTAACGGACTGACAGAAGCAGACAGAGTCTAGCTGAGGCCTGGGGAAAGAAGCCCTCTCACTGATCAAAGCACAAAGCTTGGGAGGCAGAGACTGCGCACACACCGAGGCCAAGTCTACAAAGCTTTGTTTGACTGGTATGGGAGTCTTTAAAAGTTCAGGCTGACCTTTAATCCTAGCACTAAGGAGGCAGAGATAGGTGGGTCTCTGTGAATTTGAGGCTAGCCTGGTCGACAGTGAGTTCTGGAACAGCCAGGACTGTTACAAAGAGAAACCCTGTCTCAAAAAAAAGAAAGAAAGAAAGAAAGAAAGGAAGAAAGAAAGAAAGAAAGAAAGAAAGAAAGAAAGAAAGAAAGGAAAAGAAAAGAAAAGGAAAGAAAAGAAAAGAAAAGTCAGTCTGGTAGAGAGGCAGGTAGCAGAGCATCATGGGGAAGGAACTGAGGAGGTGGCAAGTGGGCAGAGGAGATGCAGCTGAGGTGGGTGACATTCATCTTCCCGAGCAGAGGAAGATGCATCCCCAGGGAAGATGCTCAACCCCTGATTCAAAATATACAGACTCCAAAGCAGAAACCGTGCCCCACCCTTCCTGAAGCTTGTATCTTTTGAATGAGGGGGGATGGCAGAAATAACTACCAGGGGCAACCAACAGACGTGGTCGCCAAACCAGTAAGGGTCTCGATGGAAGGACCTAGAGAGCCAATGACATAATATGGGAATTCTAGGTGGTGAGCCTGTTCACTCACAAGGGGTGGGGGTGGGTGCAGCTAAAAAATGCCTGGAAAGGAACAAAATTAGTACTATCAGCAAAATCAAAGTAGCTTCGTCTTAGAAACTTTTGAAACAAAGTCTAGTAATGTAGTCCACTCACCTCAAACTCAAATGTGTGTGTGTGTATATATACACACACACACATACATATACACACAAACATACTTACAGCCAGGCAGACAGACAGGCAGACATTCCATATAGTCTCACTATGTAGCCCAGGCCAGTCTCAAATTCTCAACAATAGTCCTGCCTGGGCCTCTCCAGTGCTGTGATTGCAGGTGGCAGCTGAACCATCACATCCCAACTCTTGGTGGTCTCATCTCACTCAGCCTGCTCAGTGCTGAGATCCGTAGGGATTCCTCAAGGCCTGAACCACTACTCTGGGCTTTGAACTCAGTCTTAATGATCTGCTCACATTTTGTGAACAATGAGAATATGATGGACAAGATGAGATTTCTCCAGAGGAAATCCAAACTAACAAAGCAT